ACACACAGTACACTGCTACAGAGACAGCGCCCCCTCCTGGCCCTGCTCCTCCATCACATACACACAGTACACTGCTACAGAGACAGCGCCCCCTGCTGGCCCTGTGCCTCCATCACATACACACAGTACACTGCTACAGAGACAGCGCCCCCTCCTGGCCCTGCTCCTCCATCACATACACACAGTACACTGCTACAGAGACAGCGCCCCCTGCTGGCCGTGTGCCTCCATCACATACACACAGTACACTGCTACAGAGACAGCGCCCCCTCCTGGCCCTGCTCCTCCATCACATACACACAGTACACTGCTACAGAGACAGCGCCCCCTGCTGGCCGTGTGCCTCCATCACGTGTACAGCAGAGTTCAGACTGGAGACACTTGAGGCCAAAGCACAAGACTCGAGTCCAAATCTGTGCCTTCAATAAGTGAAGTGTTGATATTATGGGGAACTGGGGAACTCCATTACCATCAGTGCTTGATAATAATGCTTAAACTCATGTTGGGGCCACTACAAACAGTGCTGCGGGCCGGCTTTGGCCCACAGGCCTGAGTTTGCTGCCTGCTAATGTTCTCTGCTCAGTGAACTCAGAAATAGGACAGAACTCACACATTATTAATAACTGGCTTTGACGTAACTCTTTTACACGCAGCGAACAGAACATTTGATCTGCTCCGTCAGCCGCAGAAACTAAAATACTATTTACAGCTTCATGGACGATAACCACTCAGAACGGGAGGAATATGTAGAGAATATGTGGGCTGAGGAATGAGACGAGGCAAACCTGGAATACAGAATCTGCTCAGGCGAAGAACTGGAGGAGTGTGGAATCAATAACAACAGACAAAACAGGAAATGGAAACATTACACACGACTCAGACGAACGAGACGCCATCAGTTCACTGGAAACTCAGGTGACGACTTTACTACAGATTATTCTTCTTTAGTATTATCTTCTGTACGACGACAAAACACGGAACTACACTAGCATGATGCTATTGTGTTGTGTTGATAGATGCTGTTTGTAGCGATGGAGCTAATATAGCGATGCAGCTAATATAGCGATGGAGCTAATATAGCGAGGCAGCTAATATAGCGATGGAGCTAATATAGCGAGGCAGCTAATATAGCGATGCAGCTAATATAGCGATGCAGCTAATATAGCGATGCAGCTAACATGTGTACTTTCATTGTGGTAGAGTTAGAGCAAAGTTTATGGACTTATTATTTCAACTCCATAAAGTTTTAAAGTTGGTTTATTGTCATAATAGATGAAGCTAAAACAGAAAATAGAAGGCATTGCTTTGACATGACTTTTATGTGACATGTTTTAAATATAATTTTCTGGTTGAATTAATGCATGGAAAGTTAATCCAAGATATATTTAGAAGTTAAACATTTTAGAATTAGTTAAGTTTGGATATTTCCCTGAGAAAATAAGTGATGTCCAACATGCCTTGGTCATCACCATCCACACTGCGAGTTAATAATAATAATAATAGAAAAACATTTTAGGGGCCACTGAAAACAGTCTTGCGGACCGCATTTGGCCCTGGGGCCTGAGGTTGCCGAGTCTGTCTTTCCCTTTTATCCCGTCTGTGGTTTCCTCGCAGTATATTAGTGACTTGTGACATTTATATGCAGTTGTTTTTACTCCGTACATAAACTTGGATTTACAGAGCGCGGTGTAGAACTGCAGCTCGGTACAAAGCAGTTCTGAAGCCGCTCCTGGTGGGAACTAATCTAAGTTTATAGAAGTGTAGAGGCGTCGGATAAATATGCAGCCGCTGCTCTCCAAATCCTTTTTCCACGGACACAAAGTTGGCAACGAGAAAAACACACAGGTCTTACCAGGACAAACATCTCACACAAGTTTTAAAACTCTGAAGTCTTTAGCAGGAGACAGAATCTATTGGAACCATCCAGTCAGCCATTTTCTTCCCCTTGATCCAGTACTGGGGGAGTGGCAGTCAGAGCTACACCCAATGTACACCCGCCCCTCACTGTCTCCTGCAGGTGGTCCACAGGAGTCCATATTTCAGTGGGGGCTTCAGGCAAAGGACACAACAGCAGCAGTCATCAGTGGGAGTCGTGAAGTGGGACTCATGGTGGACTTGAACCCACAACCTTCAGGCTTAAAGGCCATTGCTCTATAGACTGAGCCACTGTTGCTCCATTGGAATATTTTTTTAATAACTACCAACTTTTTTTTACCAATTAATGGGAAATTATTGGTAGTACTTTAGATTAGCCCTATAACAGCTAATTAAGTGCTAATTAGTGAACGCTAACCGTAGCCTTAACCCACAGGGAAAGTGTCAGTAGTTAGAGGCTGATAAAGGTCATGTAGAATGAGGACTAATAGATGCTTAATAAATACCAATTAAAAGCTAATTAACCATCAATTAGCACTTATTAGCTGTTAATTAGTGAGGGCTAAACTAAAGTGTGTCCAAGTGATTATATTGAGAGGAGAAAGGAGCAAGTTTTGCCCGAAAAGCGAGTAGTAGTAGAGTAGTGTTTGAAATGACCCTTTTCCAGCTGGTTTTGAGCCCAACCCTCAAAGAAGAACATTCTGGAGAAAAACATAAAAAGCTTGTACTGTGTTTAAACTGTTTCAAGCATTTAGAGCTCCTGGAGTGGCCTCAGTCTCCAGATGTGAACCCCATAGAAAATCTTAAAACACAAACTAGAGATAGATCTGCAAGAGGAATGGGCCAAAATTCCCGCAACAGTGTGCCAAAACCAAGTATTGAAATCGACTTTTGTTATGTATACTTATTTCCTGGGTCTACAGCCTCAGTCCTGGGTCTACAGCCTCAGTCCTGGGTCTACAGCCTCAGTCCTGGGTCTACAGCCTCAGTCCTGGGTCTACAGCCTCAGTCCTGGGTCTACAGCCTCAGCCCTGGGTCTACAGCCTCAGTCCTGGGTCTACAGTCTCAGTCCTGGGTCTACAGCCTCAGTCCTGGGTCTACAGCCTCAGTCCTGGGTCTACAGCCTCAGTCCTGGGTCTACAGCCTCAGTCCTGGGTCTACAGCCTCAGTCCTGGGTCTACAGCCTCAGTCCTGGGTCTACAGCCTCAGTTATGAGCAACAAGTTCATAAAACATTTAAGATTTCCTTCAGAATGCGACCAAATGACCAAGTTTTTGTGCTAATATTTGAAGGATAAATCGATATTTCATACAAAAAGAACAGGACAGATTAAATGACTGGAGTCCACAAATATTTACCAAATACGACGGCCTTCCGAGAGGCACAGGACAAAAATCAATGTAACTTTAGAATCAGAGTCAGAGCGAGAGACGGGGACATCTGTGGAGGGTCAGTGGATAATGAGAAGGATCTGTAAGATATCTGCAGGTGACAGTGACATCAGCGAGTCCCGGGTCCATCGACAGTTCACACACTGTGTGCACCATGTGCATTGTATACTGTATAACTCTATTTTAACTCTGTAACTCTCTGACTGTTGCACTGAGCCAAAGCAATTTCCAAGTCTGTGACCTCCTGTTACTTACGCAATAAAAATGATTCTGATTCTCAAAGTCTGAAACGGATTCTCCAAGATCTCAGTTTTTCACAGGGGTTTGTTTGGAAGAAGGAGAGTCTAAGTGGACGGGGAATATTCGAGGTAAAAAGGAGCTGAGGATGGACCACAGACTGTCGGTATGATCAGTGCTGAACTGCTCATTCGTACATCGTGACAGCGAGACCATTTCAATGCGACTGATTCTATTGGTTCAGAATTGGTTCTGCCGCTCTCTTTTTGAGATTTCTGTCATTTCCTGGTTGAGGTCTTTGTGGTTCAGGTGTTTCCGGGGTCGTATATCATGGATATCACTGCACTATGAAAATTAGCTTCTCTTCGTCCACAGCAACAGGAAGCAGTGTGTTTCAACCAATAAGAAGTGTTTAGGGGCGGGACGCTGGACGCTGCCGCCAAAAGTCGCCCAAATAGAGACGAGGCGAGCAATGTTTTCAGGGGTTGGCGTTAACTCTGGACTGTGCGACATCACTCTCTGCAGTCAGGAAAGGCTGATGGGAACATACGCCTTCAGGACGACGTGTGAGTATGAAGGTCCTTCATTCGTCCCACAATGGTGTAACTTCAGTTTGACACGCACGCACACACACACACACACCTTCCGTGCTCCTTATAGACAAAGTGGGTCAAGTGTCTTGCCCAAGGACACAACAGCAGCAGACATCAGTGGAGTTGGTGGAGAAGGTCTACAGTTTTTTATACAATTTCTACATCGAAAAGAGTTTGAGACTTGTTAGCATTTCATACGTTTACAACTTTTACTCTTGGCTACAACATGATCCAATGTTGATTGCAGATTTGTTTTTTGTTTTTAACAGAATGGAGCACGGACTCTGGCTTAAAGATAAAATACAACAGTGAAGTGTAGTAAGTTTGTTGGGTGTTGGGGTCCGTGCTTTTATTGTCTGACGTTAAACTGGTTGGTCTCTCTCACTCCCTGGACTACGTGGGCGTTTCTCCCTTTAAACCAGGACATACATGCAGAGGACAGACTGGTACATGCAGAGGACAGACTGGTACATGCAGAGGACAGACTGGTACCTTGCAGAGGACAGACTGGTACATGCAGAGGACAGACTGGTACCTTGCAGAGGACAGACTGGTACCTTGCAGAGGACAGACTGGTACCTTGCAGAGGACAGACTGGTACCTTGCAGAGGACAGACTGGTACCTTGCAGAGGACAGACTGGTACCTTGCAGAGGACAGACTGGTACCTTGCAGAGGACAGACTGGTACATGCAGAGGACAGACTGGTACCTTGCAGAGGACAGACTGGTACATGCAGAGGACAGACTGGTACCTTGCAGAGGACAGACTGGTACATGCAGAGGACAGACTGGTACATGCAGAGGACAGACTGGTACCTTGCAGAGGACAGACTGGTACCTTGCAGAGGACAGACTGGTACCTTGCAGAGGACAGACTGGTACATGCAGAGGACAGACTGGTACCTTGCAGACAGACTGAAACTCCTCGTTCTCCTCGTCGTAGCAGGCCAACAGGAAGCCTCCGTACGTCCCGGTCCTCTTCCCTTTCCCCAGATACGCTCCGATCACACACAGGTCCATCGTGTCCCCCACTCCGTCCAGATAGTCCTTCTTCAACTGAGAAACAGAATCAGGCTAAACCAGCAGCACACACGCAGCTGATGGTGCAGTCGCTAACATTAAAACGTTATGATAAAGCGGGAAACTGCTTGATCAAACGGATTATTGAACTATATCGCAATACTTAGGTCTACTGCCTCCATCTAATCATCGAAATATCACGATACTGAGCAGAATCGACCCCATGACTATAAACCGGGCCGATGCAAAAGTGGAACTCACCTTGAGCCAGTTGTGAGACCTTTTGGCGATTTCATAAGTGGCGTCTTTCTCCAGAGTCTTCACCATCAAACCCTCACAGGAATCTAACAAATGATCAAAATGTCACTCACAGAAATAATTGTAAAAACATGTTTAAACGGCGATCGTCTAAACCCAACAGTTGGATATTTACAGTCATATAGAGATGGCCACCAGCGTTTACTTCCTGTTGTGAGTTTTAACATGTAAATATGTATACTAGGCTGAATGATGCCTAACCAAAAGGGGTTTAGGCTGAGACTTAAACTGACTATAGGACGACCATGAGAGTGATGTCACATGGTCTGTATGAAGACCTGGACCATCATCTACTATAGGACGACCATGAGAGTGATGTCACATGGTCACACCTTTCACAGACTGCTCCAGGAACTCTGCGATGGTGTCCGTGTTGTCGGTGTCGATGGATTTGGCAAAAACAAACTCTCCTTCGACTTCAGAGAAACTCTCGTGGAGCAGAGCCCTCCGTCTGGACAGCGGCTGCTTCACCAACGACTGGACACAAACACAGGAAGTTAGAGATAAGTAGCTCTAAGATATGGACACAAACACAGGAAGTTAGAGATATGTAGCTCTGAGATACGGACAAAAACACAGGAAGTTAGAGATATGTAGCTCTGAGATACGGACACAAACACAGGAAGTTAGAGATATGTAGCTCTGAGATACGGCTGCTAAGACTCTCCTCGTTGGAAGTAAAAACTAATCTGTGTCTGATTGTGTTTGTCAAGATATTCTGTGACACAGACTAGTATTTAGCCTGTGTCTATGTCTATCTCTCTGTCTCTCTCCCCCTGTGTCTCTCTCCCTGTGTCTCTCTCCCTGTGTCTCTCTCCCCTCCCTGTGTCTCTCTCCGTGTCTCTCTCCCCTCCCTGTGTCTCTCTCCCTGTGTCTCTCTCCCCTCCCTGTGTCTCTCTCCCCTCCCTGTGTCTCTCTCCCCTCCCTGTGTCTCTCTCCCTGTGTCTCTCTCCCCGTGTCTCTCTCCCCTCCCTGTGTCTCTCCCCGTGTCTCTCTCCCCTCCCTGTGTCTCTCTCCCCGTGTCTCTCTCCCCTCCCTGTGTCTCTCTCCCCGTGTCTCTCTCCCTGTGTCTCTCTCCCCTCCCTGTGTCTCTCCCTGTGTCTCTCTCCCCTCCCTGTGTCTCTCTCCCCTCCCCGTGTCTCTCTCCCCGTGTCTCTCTCCCCGTGTCTCTCTCCCCGTGTCTCTCCCCGTGTCTCTCTCCCCGTGTCTCTCTCCCCGTGTCTCTCTCCCCGTGTCTCTCTCCCCGTGTCTCTCTCCCCGTGTCTCTCTCCCCGTGTCTCTCTCCCCGTGTCTCTCTCCCCGTGTCTCTCTCCCCTCCCTGTGTCTCTCCCTGTGTCTCTCTCCCCTCCCTGTGTCTCTCCCTGTGTCTCTCTCCCCTCCCCGTGTCTCTCTCCCCGTGTCTCTCTCCCCGTGTCTCTCTCCCCGTGTCTCTCTCCCCGTGTCTCTCTCCCCGTGTCTCTCTCCCCGTGTCTCTCTCCCCGTGTCTCTCTCCCCGTGTCTCTCTCCCCGTGTCTCTCTCCCCGTGTCTCTCTCCCCGTGTCTCTCTCCCCGTGTCTCTCTCCCCTCCCTGTGTCTCTCCCCGTGTCTCTCCCCGTGTCTCTCTCCCCTCCCTGTGTCTCTCTCTCCCTGTGTCTCTCTCCCTGTGTCTCTCTCCCTGTGTCTCTCTCCCCTCCCTGTGTCTCTCTCCCCTCCCTGTGTCTCCCTCCCTGTGTCTCTCCCTGTGTCTCTCTCCCTGTGTCTCTCTCCCTGTGTCTCTCTCCCCTCCCTGTGTCTCTCTCCCCTCCCTGTGTCTCTCTCCCCTCCCTGTGTCTCTCTCCCCTCCCTGTGTCTCTCTCCCCTCCCTGTGTCTCTCTCCCTGTGTCTCTCTCCCTGTGTCTCTCTCCCTGTGTCTCTCTCCCTGTGTCTCTCTCCCCTCCCTGTGTCTCTCTCCCCTCCCTGTGTCTCCCTCCCTGTGTCTCTCCCTGTGTCTCCCTCCCTGTGTCTCTCTCCCTGTGTCTCTCTCCCTGTGTCTCTCTCCCTGTGTCTCTCTCCCTGTGTCTCTCTCCCTGTGTCTCTCTCCCCTCCCTGTGTCTCTCCCTGTGGCTCTCTCCCCGTGTCTCTCTCCCCTCCCTGTGTCTCTCTCCCCTCCCTGTGTCTCCCTCCCTGTGTCTCTCTCCCCGTGTCTCTCTCCCCGTGTCTCTCTCCCCGTGTCTCTCTCCCCGTGTCTCTCTCCCCGTGTCTCTCTCCCCGTGTCTCTCTCCCCGTGTCTCTCTCCCCGTGTCTCTCTCCCCGTGTCTCTCTCCCCGTGTCTCTCTCCCCGTTCTCTCTCCCCGTGTCTCTCTCCCCTCCCTGTGTCTCTCCCCGTGTCTCTCCCCGTGTCTCTCTCCCCTCCCTGTGTCTCTCTCTCCCTGTGTCTCTCTCCCCTCCCTGTGTCTCTCTCCCTGTGTCTCTCTCTCCCCGTGTCTCTCTCCCCGTGTGTCTCTCCCCGTGTCTCCCTCCCTGTGTCTCTCTCCCCGTGTCTCTCTCTGTGTCTCTCTCCCTGTGTCTCTCTCTCCCTGTGTCTCTCTCCCCTCCCTGTGTCTCTCTCCCCTCCCTGTGTCTCTCTCCCTGTGTCTCTCTCCCTGTGTCTCTCTCCCTGTGTCTCTCTCCCCTCCCTGTGTCTCTCTCCCCTCCCTGTGTCTCCCTCCCTGTGTCTCTCCCTGTGTCTCTCTCCCTGTGTCTCTCTCCCTGTGTCTCTCTCCCTGTGTCTCTCTCCCTGTGTCTCTCTCCCTGTGTCTCTCTCCCCTCCCTGTGGCTCTCTCCCCGTGTCTCTCTCCCCTCCCTGTGTCTCTCTCCCCTCCCTGTGTCTCCCTCCCTGTGTCTCTCTCCCTGTGTCTCTCTCCCCGTGTCTCTCTCCCTCTCCCCGTGTCTCTCTCCCCGTGTCTCTCTCCCCGTGTCTCTCTCCCCGTGTCTCTCTCCCTGTGTCTCTCTCCCCATGTCTCTCTCCCCGTGTCTCTCTCCCCGTGTCTCTCTCCCCGTGTCTCTCTCCCCTCCCTGTGTCTCTCTCCCCTCCCCGTGTCTCTCTCCCCTCCCTGTGTCTCTCTCCCCTCCCCGTGTCTCTCTCCCCGTGTCTCTCTCCCCGTGTCTCTCTCCCTGTGTCTCAACAGCAGCCGTTTGGACTAAGACGGCGGAGGCTAAAGTGGGAGCAGGCTGTAATTACGTACATCACCTTTAACATATAACACTGGTCTTATTAGCCACAGACGAACACAAACACAGATATTAATGACATGAAATTGGAGCTAATAACTGAGTCCTAATCTGGTCCAAACGACTCATGCTAATGTTCTGCCTCCACAGAACCCACACCACTGCAGACCAACCCAGGACCCACCATGAATTATGCAACTGCTGCTTCGCTGTCATTTTACAATCCACATTTTACATAATCAATTATACATTTCAACAGTAAATCTGCAACGATAAAGTAGAGATTGGCCGTAACAGCGTCTGATCCTCCGCAACGAGAGAAAAGAGTTCGACCTTGGCCAATAACGGCTCGGAACGGCCTCGTTTTGGTGGAACAAAGGAATTGTTTTGCAGGATTTTAATGGAAACTTGGAAGTGGTTTGGTCCGATGTGTTGGTTACGGGCAAATGAAAAGTGTTAGAATTAAACGGGCAGAAAAAGTCACTATTCCTGGTGCAATAATCATAAGTCCTTGAATATGTAACAAGAGGAGGACAGAGGTTTGAAAAGCACTTTTACATATTTACAACCACAAAGACTAGAGGTGATTGTAACATGAAAGAAGACTTAGACACAAAGTAACGGACGACTTTGAAGTGAAAACCATTGGAGCAGTTGGTATCAATGCAGCGAGACTAAGTACTTCCTGGAATCTCCTTTTGGTGAATGCCCGAACAGGCTTCAGAGACAGAAAGTTTGATCTTTACAAACACAACTCAAGCCTCAGGGTCAATTCAATTCATTCTTGCATCGCCGTAAATCACAACCGTTGAATTTGCCGACACAGATCAGAGAATCAAACCGTCCTGTCCTTAGACGCTCATGCATCAGAGGAACAAGTCTAAAACCAAGTGGGAAAAGGTGAGACTGAGGCTGTAGACCCGGGACTGAGGCTGTAGACCCAGGACTGAGGCTGTAGACCCAGGACTCTGAGGCTGTAGACCCAGGACACTGAGGCTGTAGACCCAGGACACTGAGGCTGTAGACCCAGGACACTGAGGCTGTAGACCCAGGACTCTGAGGCTGTAGACCCAGGACACTGAGGCTGTAGACCCAGGACACTGAGGCTGTAGACCCAGGACACTGAGGCTGTAGACCCAGGACACTGAGGCTGTAGACCCAGGACACTGAGGCTGTAGACCCAGGGACACTGAGGCTGTAGACCAGGGACTGAGGCTTGTAGACCCGGGACTGAGGCTTGTAGACCCGGGACTGAGACTGTAGACCCAGGACTGAGGCTGTAGACCCAGGACTGAGGCTGTAGACCCGGGACTGAGGCTGTAGACCCAGGACTGAGGCTGTAGACCCAGGACTGAGTGGGGTCAGTGTCCTGCTGGAAGGTTGAACTCGCCACAGCCTCGAGCGTTTTGTCGATGACAGTAGTCTCCCAAAATGGCTCCGTTTTTAGCTCCATCTACATTTCCATATTTTTTAACCATCTTCTCAGTTCCTGTTGAAGAAAAGCAGCCCTATAGCATGATGCTCCCCCTCATATTTGACATTTGGATGGTGCACTGAGGATGAGGAGCAGTCAGTGTCATACTAAATGTTTTGCATTTGGAACCAATGACAAAAGCATCATATGTCTCTGGCTGCTAACTGCTAACAACATTTCCTTTGGCCTCCTCTAACAATGTCTTTCTTCTTGCAAATCCATTCATTAAAATCCACTTTATTAATCCAGGTATGGGGCAATCAGAGCTGCACCAAAAGCACATATCATTGTCCCTCTGATCCTGCTGCAGGTGCTGTGTCCACAGAAGGATGGCTGATCCGTCTGCAACGACACAGCCTTGGTTTTTCACTTTCAGGCAAAGTGGGGTTAAGTGTCTTTCCCAGGGGCACAACGACAGCAGACTTCATTGGGAGCAGATGGAGGGGGTCTTCTGGGGGATGGAGCCCACACCCGAAGGCCAATGCTCGACCAACTGAGCCACTGTCGCCTCACTGTCGGCTCTCGTCCATAACAAACAGATTTGTCTTGGACTTGTTGATGTTTAGATCCAGGAAACAGACTCTGAGGCCATTGTCGGAGATATTTGACTACTAAACACAGGTGAGGGTCATGTGAGCATCCAGGAGTCAACAAAAACAACAGAAGGCACTCAGAAATACTGTAGGAAGAGAGTTTTTTCATCCATTGTGCTGCACTGGTCTGTGAGACATTCATTTTCATTTACTGCGACATTTTGAGTCTAAAATATGAACCCAAGGAAAGATTGAACTGAAAACAGCAGTAAATTAAATCATCAGCAGCGAACACATTACTGCATTAGTTTTACACACAGGGTCCTTTCATTGGACGAGAAATCCACTCAAAAGCCACAACTTTAGAGTCCATTACTTTCTCCTCAATTGGGAAAACTATTATTACCAAGGTCTATGGAAATGCTGCTCATTTGCATCGACTGACTTTTAGTGATTCAATGAGAAAATGCTGAACAGCTGCTTTATAAACCAGGGACCTTCAGGACCACCTCCTCATTTACATCACAGAGACCACAGCGTTCATAATGGACTCATTTATTACAGCTATTACAGGAAGCCTCCGCATCCTCCGCTTCGTCTGACCCCGTGCAGCCATGTTAAGTAGTAAGAATATAAAATAAGGCACTAATTAGCGTTTTCCAGGTACTTTGACTTAAGTATCTGCAGCAATCGGTTATGAACAGGTTTCAGAGGCAGGAGAAGTGCGTGTTGTTAGTAAGAGATCAAACTTTGATTCCACCTCCAGACCTTTCTGTGTGGAGTTTGCATGTTCTCCTCGTGGCCTGGTATGATTTTTATTTGCCCCAAAACGCAGGGCGGAAGTAGCGAGTGGTCTTTGATGCTGACGGGGTTAAGCTAGCACCTTCAGAGACTTCATATAACAGCAGTATGTGTCCTTCATATGTAGTCCAGGTTTAGTCCTGGTTTAGTCCTGGTTTAGTCTTGGCCCTGGGTCTACAGTCTCAGTCCCGGGTCTACAGCCTCAGTCCATCCGTGGGAGCAGATCCCTCCCTCAATGTGGGCCTCCGTGAGGGGTCTCACCTATTCCCACTTGGTCTAGAGTTGCTCCTCTGGTGCAGGAGGGTCTGATCCGGTGACAGTGGTGATGACATTGGTCTCTGCTCCTTATGGACCAAAGAATGTGTTTCTCTGATCTGTGTCGGTGAATTCAACAGTTTTGTATCGTGCTCTGTGTTAAATACTGTTGTGATTTAGGGCCATACAAGAATACATTGAATTGAATTGTCAGGTCACAGAGTTAAAGGGCACATACAGTGTTAACTCCTTCATGATATTATCTGCGGATGGATCTGAGCGTGTGCAGTGATGGGACGCCACTCGGACGGCGGCGTGAGCAGCTGTGGCTCAGACTGAAGCAGCATCTCAATGAGATATAAACTCTGGTCAGAGCTGCGTCATTGTCATTCAGCGGATCTCCTCATCTACACCACAGAGGAGTGGACCGTGACCGTGAGGAGACCGAGGAGACCGAGGAGGGAGGAGACCGAGGAGACAGGAGAGAGGAGACAGAGGAGAAAGGGGACAGAGGAGGGAGGAGAGAGAGGAGACACAGAGAAGACAGAGAGGAGTGAGAGGAGAGGAGAGAGGAGACCGAGGAGGGAAGAGAGAGGAGAGAGAAGAGAGGAGACAGCGGAGACGGAGAGGAGAGAGGAGACAGAGAGGAGAGAGAGAGTTGAAACATTGAAAGCTAAATTCAAACATTCCTTAAAATAAACCGTACTGAAACCCATTATTCATAAAATAAGTTTTGATTCTCGATGAGGGAACAGTAAAGTTTAAAGACAACAAACAAACCATGGAACCTAAACGCTGTAAGATTTAAACAACAGGACTCACCTCTCCATTCAGATACAGCAGGTCGAAGGCATACACACACACTTGGACTTTGATCTCAGAAGCATCCACATCCTGCAACAGAAAGATTCAAATTCAGGTCATGTGCAGTAAAACCACATTGGAATACACGTGCAAGAGTCCCCAGTGTGCAGTAGACCAGAGAGAGACCGGAGAGAGACCAGAGAGAGACCAGAGAGAGACCAGAGAGAGACCAGAGAGAGACCAGAGAGAGACCAGAGAGAGACCAGAGAGAGACCAGAGAGAGACCGGAGAGAGACCGGAGAGAGACCAGAGAGACCAGAGAGAGACCAGAGAGAGACCGGAGAGAGACCGGAGAGAGACCGGAGAGAGACCAGAGAGAGACCAGAGAGAGACCAGAGAGAGACCAGAGAGAGACCAGAGAGAGACCAGAGAGAGACCAGAGAGAGACCAGAGAGAGACCAGAGAGAGACCAGAGAGAGACCAGAGAGAGACCAGAGAGAGACCAGAGAGAGACCAGAGAGAGACCAGAGAGAGACCAGAGAGAGACCAGAGAGAGACCGGAGAGAGACCAGAGAGAGACCAGAGAGAGACCGGAGAGAGACCGGAGAGAGACCAGAGAGAGACCAGAGAGAGACCAGAGAGAGACCGGAGAGAGACCGGAGAGAGACCAGAGAGAGACCAGAGAGAGACCAGAGAGAGAGAGAGACCAGAGAGAGAGAGAGACCAGAGAGAGAGACCAGAGAGAGAGACCAGAGAGCGAAACCAGAGAGACCAGAGAGAGACCAGAGAAAGACCAGAGAGAGACCAATGACAGCCCATACACTCCTCTACATATTCTCTCAAGGACGAGTCTAAGCCGTTCTCAGCTCCTCCTGATCCCACTCTCTGCTAACGGCTTGAGCTCTGGTTTTCAAAGACCAGGGAGAGAGAGACTGCCTCTTGTTTAATGGTAATCTATAACCTCTGTGGCTCATTATGAGATAAGATATAACAGAGAATCAGGGAAACACCAAACAAGATTAATGGTTTTAAGGCTGCTTTAGCTTTCAAATGTTCAATAATGGTTAGCTTTAAATACCTCTCAAGGAACCCAAATATACATATGGAAGAGAGAGAGAGAGATACAGATCAGAGAGAGACAAGAGAGCAGAGAGAGACCAGAGGGACCAGAGACAGAAGAGAGAGAGAGAGACCAGAGACACAGTGAGAGACCAGAGACACAGTGAGAGACCAGAGAGAGAGAACAGAGAGAGACCAGACGGAACAGAGAGAGAGACCAGAGATAGACCAGAGAGGGGACCAGAGAGAGAGACCAGAGAGAGAGACCAGAGAGAGAGACCAGAGAGAGAGACCAGAGAGAGAGACCAGAGAGAGAGACCAGAGAGAGAGACCAGAGAGAGAGACCAGAGAGAGAGACCAGAGAGAGAGACCAGAGAGAGACCAGAGAGAGAGACCAGAGAGAGAGAGAGAGACCAGAGAGAGAGACCAGAGAGAGACCAGAGAGAGAGACCAGAGAGAGAGACCAGAGAGACCAGAGAGAGAGACCAGAGAGAGAGACCAGAGAGAGAGACCAGAGAGAGAGACCAGAGAGAGACCAGAGAGAGAGACCAGAGAGAGACCAGAGACTGACCTTGTGTATGAACTATGCTCTACAGATAAACTTGTATCATATAAATATCGTGATAATGATAATCTAAACTAACTTCACATCTGAACTAAATGAATCCTGACTGTTCCCGGAGGATAATGGCGCTCGTGAGGTCTTAATATACACGTTTGTTTTTGGAGCCATTGACATAATTCACAGTAAATTAAAGCCAGTTCAGAGACGGAGAACAATGGGCTAATCAGCACCATCGTTACTCACTCTACAGACTGACGGCTGCTCTCACTACCGCTCCTGAAACGTGACATTTGCTTAATTTGAACAGTTTGACATTCCAATCTGCGAAGGCGTTTCAGAAAGAATCACATTATCAAGGCCTGACACTGGAAAAACTGTGAGGTTTCCATAGTATTGCAATATTTGGCCACAATTCTATATGATTGTGATTCTTAACACATCACGATACAGACAGTGTGTGATTCTGAGATATATTTAGATTCTTCTGCCTCATATGGTTCACACTTTACAAACATGGAGGACATTCAGGGCTCCAGCTCATTACATTCACATACAACAGACTAGAGTCACAAAAAAGACAATATCGTGATACTGAGAAGAATCGATTTTGTACTAGTTTCTCCTGAGAGAGAGACTAGAGAGACCAGAGACTAGAGAGACCAGAGAGAGAGACTAGAGAGACCAGAGAGAGACTAGAGAGACCAGAGAGAGAGACTAGAGACCAGAGAGAGAGACTAGAGAGACCAGAGAGAGAGACTAGAGAGAGAGACTAGAGAGACCAGAAAGAGACTAGAGACCAGAGAGAGAGACTAGAGAGACCAGAAAGAGACTAGAGAGACCAGAGAGAGAGAGACTAGAGACCAGAGAGAGAGACTAGAGAGACCAGAGAGAGACCAGAGAGAGAGACTAGAGAGACCAGAGAGAGAGACTAGAGAGACCAGAAAGAGACTAGAGAGACCAGAGAGAGAGACTAGAGAGACCAGAGAGAGACTAGAGAGACCAGAGAGAGAGACTAGAGAGACCAGAAAGAGACTAGAGACCAGAGAGAGAGACTAGAGAGACCAGAGAGAGAGACTAGAGAGACCAGAAAGAGACTAGAGAGACCAGAGAGAGAGAGACTAGAGACCAGAGAGAGAGACTAGAGACCAGAGAGAGACCAGAAAGAGAGAGACAGAGAGAGAGACTAGAGAGACCAGAGAGAGACCAGAGAGAGACCAGAGAGAGAGACTAGAGACCAGAGAGAGAGACTAGAGACCAGAGAGAGACCAGAGAGAGAGACTAGAGAGACCAGAGAGAGAGACTAGAGAGACCAGAAAGAGACTAGAGAGACCAGAGAGAGAGACTAGAGAGACCAGAGAGAGACTAGAGAGACCAGAGAGAGAGACTAGAGAGACCAGAAAGAGACTAGAGACCAGAGAGAGAGACTAGAGAGACCAGAGAGAGAGACTAGAGAGACCAGAGAGAGAGACTAGAGAGACCAGAGAGAGAGACTAGAGAGATCCGAGAGAGAGACTAGAGACCAGAGAGAGACTAGAGACCAGAGAGAGAGACGAGAGACCAGAGAGAGACTAGAGACCAGAGAGAGAGACGAGAGACCAGAGAGAGACCAGAGAGAGAGACTAGAGAGACCAGAGAGACCAGAGAGAGAGACCAGAGAGAGAGACCAGAGAGAGACCAGAGAGAGACCAGAGAGAGACCAGCAAGAGACCAGAGAGAGACCAGCAAGAGACCAGAGAGAGACCAGCAAGAGACCAGCAAGAGACCAACAAGAGACCAGAGAGAGAGACCAGAGAGAGACCAGAGAGAGACCAGAGAGAGAGACCAGAGAGAGAGACGAGAGACCAGAGAGAGACTAGAGACCAGAGAGAGAGACGAGAGACCAGAGAGAGACCAGAGAGAGAGACTAGAGAGACCAGAGAGAGAGACTAGAGAGACCAGAGAGAGAGACTAGAGAGACCAGAGAGAGAGACCAGAGAGAGAGACCAGAGAGAGACCAGAGAGAGACCAGAGACCAGAGAGACCAGAGAGAGACCAGCAAGAGACCAGAGAGAGACCAGCAAGAGACCAACAAGAGACCAGAGAGAGAGACCAGAGAGAGACCAGAGAGAGACCAGAGAGAGAGACCAGAGAGAGAGACGAGAGACCAGAGAGAGACTAGAGACCAGAGAGAGAGACGAGAGACCAGAGAGAGACCAGAGAGAGAGACTAGAGAGACCAGAGAGAGAGACTAGAGAGACCAGAGAGAGAGACTAGAGAGACCAGAGAGAGAGACTAGAGACCAGAGAGAGAGACTAGAGAGACCAGAGAGAGAGACTAGAGAGACCAGAGAGACCAGAGAGAGAGACTAGAGAGAGAGACTAGAGACCAGAGAGAGAGACTAGAGAGACCAGAAAGAGACTACAGACCAGAGAGAGAGACTAGAGAGACCAGAAAGAGACTAGAGAGACCAGAGAGAGAGACTAGAGACCAGAGAGAGAGACTAGAGAGACCAGAAAGAGACTAGAGACCAGAGAGAGACTAGAGAGAGAGACTAGAGACCAGAGAGAGAGACTAGAGAGACCAGAAAGAGACTACAGACCAGAGAGAGAGACTAGAGAGACCAGAAAGAGACTAGAGAGACCAGAGAGAGAGACTAGAGACCAGAGAGAGAGACTAGAGAGACCAGAAAGAGACTAGAGACCAGAGAGAGACTAGAGAGACCAGAAAGAGACTAGAGAGGCCAGAGAGAGACCAGAGAGAGACCAGAGAGAGAGACTAGAGACCAGAGAGAGACCAGAGAGAGACCAGAGAGAGAGACCAGAGAGAGACCAGAGAGAGAGACTAGAGAGACCAGAAAGAGACTAGAGAGACCAGAGAGAGAGACTAGAGAGACCAGAGAGAGACTAGAGAGACCAGAGAGAGAGACTAGAGAGACCAGAGAAGAGACTAGAGAGACCAGAGAGAGAGACTAGAGAGACCAAGAGAGAGACTAGAGAGAGACAGAGAGAGAGACCAGAGAGAGAGACTAGAGAGACCAGAGAGAGAGACTAGAGAGACCAGAGAGAGAGACTAGAGACCAGAGAGAGAGACTAGAGACCAGAGAGAGAGACTAGAGAGACCAGAGAGAGAGACAAGAGACCAGAGAGAGAGACTAGAGACCAGAGAGAGACAATAGACCAGAGAGAGAGACTAGAGACCAGAGAGAGACTAGAGAGAGCGGGGGACCAGAGAGAGAGGGACCAGAGATATAGAGAGAGAGAGAACGAGAGAGACAGACCATAGAGACCAGAGCGATTGACCAGAGAGAGATCAAAGAGAAAGACCAGCGAGAGAGATGAGAGAGAGAGACAGGACCAGAGAGAACAGAGAGAACCAGAGAAAGAGAGAAGGGGGACCAGAGAGAGAGAGTGACCAGAGAAAGAGAGATAGACCAGAGAGAGAACTGAGAGAGAAACCAGGGAGAAACCAGAGAGAGAGGGACAAGAGA